TTATATATAACATCTTTATTTATATATATAATATCTTTATTTATATATATAACATCTTTATTATAATATCTTTATTTATATATATAATATCTTTATATATATATATAATATCTTTATTTATAATATCTTTATTTATATATATAATATCTTTATTTATAATATCTTTATTTATATATATAATGTCTTTATTTATATATATAATATCTTTATTTATATTTATAATGTCTTTATTTATATATATAATATCTTTATTTATAATATCTTTATTTATAATATCTTTATTTATATATATAATGTCTTTATTTATATATATAATATCTTTATTTATATTTATAATGTCTTTATTTATATATAATATCTTTATATTGGCTCCTGATGGTTCCTGATGGCTCCTGATGGTTCCTGATGGTTCCTGATGGCTCCTGATGGTTCCTGATGGTTCCTGATGGCTCCTGATGGCTCCTGATGGTTCCTGATGGCTCCTGATGGTTCCTGATGGCTCCTGATGGCAGATAACATTACCTACACAGTTGTACATAATTCAGATATGATAATTTGTCATAAGATGCCAAGATTCATATGTTTGTCTTTCTGTTGTTGTTGTTTTTGTTTGTTGTTTGTGTCGCTTTGAAATGTACATATCATTTGTGAATTTGTGGTGTATGTCAGCGCTGAAAACCAGAAACAAACAGATGTTTACAAAGTGCTATGACAGACAAAGTAAAGACATAAAGTCAGGACAACAACAGAATCAACATCCCCTAAACACAAGATGAAGTTTCTTCAGAGATATTTAGGGTCTTGGTCTTGTCTCAGTCTTGATCCCTAAACGTCTTGGTCTTGGTCTTGGTCTTGGTCTTGGTCTCGGTCTTGGTCTCGGTCTCGGTCTTGGTCTCGGAGCTCTCTGGTCTGGTATGTGTTGGTCTCAGTTAGTTTGGTCTTGACTCCAACACTACTTATTGGTACCTCATCCTACATGACCATAGTCTATAGCTAACAGGTCATTCTTTAAGAGCTAGCCCTCCTTATTACTGCTTATTCATAGAACATGAGGAAATTGTTAGAAGCATATTAAGATCATGCTGCAGCATGTTGTTGGGTTATGTTGTTCCTCAGTCTCTTTTTTTTTCCAGCTCCAGCGTATTTCTAAACATCAAAATCTTCCTCCCAACTCATTTGTCTTTATTTCTATTTGTTTGTGTTCAGGTGGGAAACTACCTCCGCATGTTCAGAGGCTCCCTGTATAAAAGATATCCGTCGTTATGGAGAAAACTGGCTTCAGTAGAAGAGAGGAAGAAGATCGTGGAGTCATCACACGGTGAGTAGAGAGCGAGCTCAGACGGGTGAGGTCGTGCTGGGCTGTAAACTTCATCATTCAGGTGATTAACCGTTGAAAATGACTTTCTGTTTTTGTCACTCAGATCACGGATACACTCAGCTCGCCACCAGCGTGACTCTGCTGAAGGCTTCAGAGGTCGAGGAGATCCTCGAGGGGAACGATGAGAAGTACAAAGCTATCTCCATCAGCACCGAGCCCCCCGCCTACCTCAGGTACATCCACCTCAGACACCTCCGTTTAACGCTGTCAGACAGAACAATGCTTTCAGGCTGATGTCGTCATGGTAACACATTTGTAAATATGAAAAGAGATCTCTGATGAGTTTCTAAAAGGGAATCAGATAATCTTTATTCTTAAGTTTTATTTACGTTTCCCCTCCCTCTAAACTCCCCCGCACAGATCATACTGTACCCTCTAGATCATAAATGATCTGACTGTGAGATTAAAACTTTACTTCATGTCTTCAATGAGGATAGAATAGAAAGGATTTTTTGAAACGACTCTGTGTGTCTTTCTTCAGGGAACAGAAGGCGAAGAGGAACAGTCAGTGGGTTCCCACGCTGCCCAACAGTTCTCACCACCTGGACGCTGTGCCATGTTCAACCACCATCAACCGCAGCCGCCTGGGCCGGGACAAGAAGAGGACCTTCCCCCTGTGGTGAGTCTCTCCTTCACATGTTCACATCAGAATCAGATTTATTGTCCAGGTATGCTTACACACACACAAGGAATTTAACTTTGATGAACTGTGCTCTCTTATGAACAGGTACAACATTAAATATCAACAATAAACAGAATAAGAAAAGACTAATATTTACATGACTAAATATGAAACAGTTCAGTGGTGGATAGTGCAAAAGATGCTGAAGTAAGTTATGAAGCTTCATCTATAAGAGAGAAATCATGCTGCAAAACAGTTCAATGGAAAGTATTGCTTTTTTAAATTGTAGGTAAAAACTGCTTTTTCTTTTTCTTTTTCTTTTTTATGGCCAGCTTCCAGATCAGGAGGATTTCAGAAGAAGTCCTCTTAGAAATATTCAGAATTGCAGAAGTGTGAAAACGGCTTGATGAGTTCTTTTATTCCTGCAGCTCGGTTCCTCTGCTCCGTCTTCAGGAAGCTTTCTTTCTTTCTGTCTTCTGTTGTTTTCCAGCTGTTCAGTCAGTCAGTGTAGAGGTGTTGCTGCTCTCAGTAACTTTTGCTCGTTGGTGTTTTTTCTCAGCTTTGACGACCACGATCCAGCTGTGATCCACGAAAACGCCACTCAGTCTGAAGTTCTGGTTCCGATCCGTCTGGACATGGAGATCGAGGGACAGAAGCTGAGAGACGCTTTCACCTGGAATATGAACGGTAACGTCCTGTCAGAGACGCACGGTTTCAGACTTCATGGTCCTTTAAAGGTTTGACGAACAGCTCCTTCTTGTGAACGTTCAGAGAAGCTGATGACGCCTGAGATGTTCGCTGAGATCCTCTGTGACGACCTCGACCTCAACCCGCTGGCCTTCGTCCCGCCATCGCCTCGGCCATCCGACAGCAGATCGAGTCGTACCCGACAGACAGCATCCTGGAGGACCAGGCGGACCAGCGGGTCATCATCAAGGTGACGCTCTGAAGTCCTTTAAAAGTAGACGTTTCATTCCTCACAGATCATTAATGGATGTTTGTGTGCTGCAGCTGAACATCCACGTGGGGAACATCTCTCTGGTGGATCAGTTCGAGTGGGACATGTCGGAGCGGGAGAACTCTCCGGAGAAGTTTGCTCTGAAGCTGTGCTCCGAGCTCGGCCTGGGCGGAGAGTTTGTAACCACCATCGCCTACAGCATCCGAGGTCAGCTGAGCTGGCACCAGAGGACGTACGCCTTCAGGTACACACTCTCACACACTCATTCTTTATAATGTGATTTGTTTGTTTATTGAGGGTGTGACCTGAATCTGACGGCGGTGGTCATAAAGTGACAAAAACACGATCAGATCTGATATTTTTCCTTCACGTCTCTCGCTCGTTTTCTGTCATGTTTCTGTTGAATTGTTTGTTTTTTCATGAAAACCAGCTGAGTCAGGAATCTGCTTTTTCCCCATGCTCTCACAGATTACTCAACTCATCGGAAATACACCAAATGTTTCACTAACACAATGATCATAATACTGAGTGATTTAACAGAAAACATGTCAGGTGCTCTCCTTTGAAGCTTCAAACACATTTAGCAGGTCTCAGGGTGTGAAGTGACTCCATGTTTAATATCCAATCTGAGCCTCAACCATGAGCGGCACACAGCAGAGAGTGGCTGCAGACAGCGCTGCGGTAAAGTTAAGCTAACCCGTTCTTGTTGTTTTGCAGTGAGAACCCGCTGCCCACAGTGGAGATAGCCATCAGAAACACAGGAGACGCTGACCAGTGGTGCCCCCTGCTGGAGACGCTGACAGACGCAGAGATGGAGAAGAAGATCAGGGATCAGGACAGGAACACCAGGTGAGTTTTTGAAGACCTCTTAGCTCTTTGTCTTCAGTCTGCTCAATTTCAATAGATTCAGCTCGATGTTTGGCTATACCAGCTTTGTGTTGACATTCGTTTTCTGTTTGCTCTTCAGGCGAATGAGGCGACTTGCGAACACGGCGCCCGCCTGGTAGAATCACACCTGCAGCGCCCCCTGCAGGATCAGTGCTCGTCTGATTGAGGTATGACTCTTGTCAACACCGGCAAACTCGAGACGTCTTCCATCATGCTCCGGACGTCTTTTTCTGCTGGTTTCTCAGTCAGACGTCCACTGTGTGTGTGTTTCTGGTTTGATTCTTATTAATGTTAATATCATGTTCTGTTTGAGTAGAAATCCTCCCTCCCTCCCCTCCTCCACGTGTTTCCCTCCCGACCCTCGGCGTGGAGAAGCTGCTCCCTCACTTTGACCACTGACTCTGTTTAATGACCACAGGGGGAGAAGAAGAACACACACCAGGCTCAGATAATATATTGTTCTGTTGTATTTGTTGTCTTTTTGTACATTTTAATAATTCTTACAAAATAAAAAAAAAGTGAACGAGTTTAACGTCTGTGTTGTCGTCTTTTAAATAACCATTCGATATAATCTATGACATCACAAAGGGCAGTAGCCCCTCCCCCAGGTGGGTGACACTCCCACAGCTAGGTGTTTGTTCTGCCCTCTGAGTCTGCCTTCTCACCGTAAACAATAGGACATGGAGCGAGAAAGACCGAGTGCACCCAAGCCCTTCCAGAGAGGGGGCGTGGTCAGACACAGCTCATTTACATATTTAAAGGTACAGACACAGAAACAGTCTGTTCTGAGCAGGGCTGAAATAGAGAGGTTTATAGACATGATCAAATACAGGATCAGAGTGGATTTAGAACAAGAAACTTCACACACAGGAGGAGCTCTGACACTTCTTTAAACTGAAGAGGACGAGGAGGAGATGTCACCTTTAACAAACTCTCAGACAGCTCAGCTGACGAGTCCAAAGTAATGTCCACCTTATGACATCACACATTGACCTTATGACATCACACATTGACCTTATGACATCACACATTGACCTTTGTTACCTTTCCTTTGAGCTGTTTGACCTCAGTTTGGGATCCCTAACCACTTCCTGTTTCTGTGCTAAATTTGATGTCCTAACCTTCCATCTACAGGAAGGGCCTTACTGTATTTCAAATAAAGTACTCCCATCTTAAAACAGGACAAACTTTAAAAATAAAACATGACAATTTTATTTTAAAATGCAAAATAATGGAATTTCAAACATGCCTTAAAAAATGTGGTTAAAGTGTGTAATCGTTCGACGGCCCTGGTCAACTTCATAAACTAAAAGCTTCGAGTACTCCAAGTTAATGTCAGGAAAGTGACAGTTCTAAGAGTGGAGTAATTGTCCGTTTGGTGTGGAAGTAGCTTCTTATCCGTCCTTTATATCGTCTTTTATTGAACATGTAGTCCATCAGAAACTTTACATTATAAAACATGAAGATGTAAAGCACTCTCGATTTGATGTTCACTATATGAGCCTTTCCTAAAACTCAAGTCTCCACAAACGATTAGCTGAAACACTCAAAGATATTTAATATTGTCAGAGTTATTGTTTAGCAGATTTAAACTCCTCGCCCTGAGACATTCCTTTAATGTCAGCTGACCATGTTATCGTCCTGACGACGCACTGAACTCCTCTCTGTCCTGACATTACAGCACAATTAGTCCTCGTAGACCTGCGTTTACGACCGTCCATGAAAACATCACACGGCTCCTGGGAAGCTCGTAACGCCGCACGCTGACCCGTCTGAGACAGCCCAGAGCGGGCGACTGCGGCGCACAGACACACGACACATCATTACGCTGGAATGTGAGCGGTGCTGCTGCAGACTGCTGAGTGTCAACAAAAAGAAACTCCCTGCAGGTAACACAAGCTGCTTTAAGACGTGGAAAATACAAAGTCGACACTTCACCCGCTTGTTTCTGTTTGACGCTGCTTTAACTCTGCTTCATCACAATGTTGAACCTTTACTCCTCTTCTCTTATCCAACACATGAAGGGAATTCACACATAACCATTTAAATCTTTGTGTTTTAAGGGGAATTCAGGCTCCGAGTAGCAGCTTACAAGACACATGACGAGTAACATCTGTCACATCTGTCAACATCTACTGAGCCCCTGTATGGAAATGTCAACCTGAGCAATAATCTATATTAAACCTGTTCAAGAATCAAAAGTAGCTACACCATAATGGTCTTTATTTGGCCAATTTGCAGTCAAGTAATTAAACATTGTAAGTTTCCAAAAACCAGAAGTTGTTTCTATCGGCCTTTCTGTAGTGCAATTCTACAACAGCTTAATCAGGAAGCTCCACCGTCATTACGTCTGTGAGATTAAAAAAAAAGGAAACCTGATGAACAGTGGAAAGAGGAGCGTTAATGTGTGCACAGATAAATAATGATTTGTAAATATCTGGTCAGAAGCAGCAGTTTGGTAGAAAGGTTATGTTTTTATTAGAAAGTAAACAAACAGGCTTCAGGTTACAGAGGAGTAAAAAAAAAAAAGACATGTATGTACAACAAAGTTTAACCTACACACTTTAAGTATAAATATTCTTTCCAAGCCGTCGTTGATGAACACTTTGACTTTAATATGAAATATGGACGTCTGACATGAAGAGCGTAACGACTCGTCAGCGTCCTGCACTGAGAAAACAACACCTGAAGAACAGACGCCTTCACATTTCACCTGCTGCAGGGACACGGCGTCAGCGGTTCTCAACCTGTGTGCACTGACCCGCGGAGAGGTCGTCACATGAGATTTCACAGGTCCTTGAGATCTTTTTAACAAGATCCAACAGCGGTGGAATACGGAAGCTCTGAGCGGACATTTCCAGTGATGACGAGTTATTTCTGGTTGTTTTCTCGAGGTCACAACGTACTTATTTTGTTTTCACGAGGTACCAGTGCTGGTTTTTCTATGCAAACAAGATAAATAACTGCAAATAACTCGTTATCACATGAAAACAAAGTAAAGTATGCACGTCATCTTAGGGCTTCTATATCGTATATCACAGAATCAAGATACTCCAAAAGTCCTGAACATAAAATCCAACAAAAAGTGAAGAAGTTCAATCAGTCAAATGTGCTCAAAGTATCAAAAGTAAAAGTACACGTTCTTCAGAACTTCATAAAAACCGTCTGAGCAGCAGAAACAATCTGACGTTTATTAACATGTTGAGAACCGCTGATCCACGCAGCAGATGCTGCTGTCCCTGAATGCATCACTGAGTCAACCTGAATAGAGCACCATGTTTTTAAACAATGTAGATAACTTCATGACAAAATGTTCTCTGAGGAAACATCACACTTCTCCTGCAGGGGGAAGATGCTGCAGACAGAGGGCGCTGTGGAGCCACAGATGTCTGCAGGCTGGAGAGAGATTCACAACATCTCGTTTAGAAGAGTGACATCAAACAGACAGTGATGTGGTTTTCACATATTGGACTTTGAGCTGTAGGACAAGCAGGACATCTCTCAGGTGAGAAAAGTAGGAAACATCTGGAGATACAGACCAGATGTTCAGAAACCCCGAGGACTGTTGTCTGTCCATGTGACCTTAAAGGGAGCAATGTAACGGCTGAGTCTTGGATGTACAGTACACTGTGTTGCATTATTTTGGGTTTACAGGATTAAGTTTACAGTCGGGCTCAGCAGAGCGAGTTTCTCCTCCAGCCTCCTCGTGTTTATTCTGCAGAAAGTCAGAGTGAGCTGATGTGAGAACACAGCAGGATATAATCAGGAGAATTCACCTGGAGTCAGTGGGAGGGGGGGTGGTGACACTGCACGACCATAGACTGTCTGCACGCCACCGCTACCATCTCCGTGCTCTAATCAACCTGCTGCTGCATGTTTCCTGTTCTCCAGGATGTTCTTCTCCTCTCTAGTTCACTTTGAGATTCTCTTCAACTACACGCAGCACTGATACAAAGACACATATTCTCATCATAGAGTCCTATGGAGGACTCTGATGCTCTTTTTACTTCACGTCTTACCTCAGGAGGCCCCGCCCCTTCCTGTCTGATACAGATAGTCTCCTGCTGTGAGGTGCATCATGTGTAAACAACCAGATCAGGAGGATTTCAGGAGCAGTCATCCTGAAATCCTCTAGAAATGTTCAGGTGTGCATGTGTGTGAAGACGGCTTCATTCACAAAAGCAAAGGTCATGTTCATTTTTCAGGGAGCGTTTCCTGCAGCCATGGAACGAAATGTCTCTTGATGCTGCAACCAATCAGAGCAGAGACATGTGTTATATTAAGATATATACGTCCAACATAAAACTCATATGGCTTATATCTGAATAAAATTCTCAGCTGTTTGGCGCTTAGGATTGAGCAGTCAACACTTGCCTCAGCTAGGTTCAAACCGGCCTCATATCACTTTAAAGGAGATCTATTAAACTCACTCTCACCATTAGTGATGTCACTCTGGGACACCTTTTAAGCCACGTTGTGAGATGTATAGCTCTAAAACCTCCTTATGTATCTGATACTGACGTCAGTAAAATCACTGATTTCAGGGAACTTCTGAGTGGGCGTGTCCTACAACTCTGCTCCATGCTTTGCTCTGATACGTTGGCAGAACCTGACGTCAGGTTTTACACCAACAACTGTATATCTTGGGTTTTTAAAAAGCTTTGTAGAGGTTTAGTACGGACATCCATCGTCGTAACTTTTTATTGAAATATTGATAAGCAGAATAGATCTCCTTTAAAGGTTATAACTGGGCCAACCTGAGTCAGAAAACATGAGCTCATAGATTCAAACCCAGACAAACAACGTCCTTCAATCAATAATCTCTGATTTGTCGCCCTTTTCTTGTTTTAAAGTTTCAGTATTTAAACTAAAGTACAGCCGCTGATGTATAAATCTGCGTCCTGCAGCGTCTCGTTTGGTGTCACTCTTCAGACGCACGACGATCAGCGAGTCAATCCAGGATGACAAAGAAGAAACAGATGAAATGTAGGAGAGTCAAAACATCAAGTAGAACATTTAAGACTGTTCTGGTGACGTCTGTGAATCATTAAAGTTCAGGCTCAAAGACAGGAAGTGAGATCACATCGTTCAGTACAGGGCCCGGGGTCTCGGCCTCACGGTGACAAAAACGTGCAAAATAAATATGAGTGTAGCTGCACGGGAGGTGCCACGTCTGAGGAAATGTACCTCAGCGTTCCTGAGAAGAAGGTGAGATTCAGTAAAGCGTGAACAGATTCAGAGAAAGTCTTGTTTATCCTCTTTGATCAACCGGATGAAAATAAAAATGTCTCTGTTCATAAAACTGCTCTTCATTTAAAAAAAAACAAAAAACACAAAAGTCGTTTCATCCGATTCTCAAACGGTTCAAGGATTCAAATGTTTCGACAGCCAAAGAAGTCCATGCCGACGTATCGGGGGTAACCCTCCAGAGAGTTCATCCCGACAGGATCGAACTTCCAGTACTGTCGACCTCGGATGAAGTGAGCGTACCCTGAGACACGGAGACCAAACAGAGAGTGAATATCAGAACAC